TCAACTTTGCAGTTGTTTTCCTCTCAAAATTGTTAGAAATCTGGAGTTGAGTTGGATATTGGGGGAATTTTGTTGAATTCCCCTATATCAGATGATGGAAAAGGAACTCCTCTCTTCCTTTGAGGGCATCATTTATTCACTGCCCAGCACAGAGGTTACAGGCAGCCCAATGTCCCTTTTTCCCTGAGTGACCATCACATTCTGCTTCTTCTGCTGCTRCCYCAGGGYAGGGATTTTTYAATTWATTTTGCAGTTCTGGTTTYGCTCTCAAAATTCTTGGAAATCRTGGAGTTGAGTTAGATTTTGGGGCAATTTTGGATTCCCTGTGTCAGATGATGKRAAAGGARCTCCTCTCCTCCTYTTAGRGCATMATTTAATCACTGCCCAGCACAGGGGTCAGGCAGCCCAGTCCCTGTTGGAGGGCAGCCACTCATCCAGGCATCCCTGCCTTGCTTCCAGAAAGAAAAATCCCCAATTTTCTCCCAGCCCCAGCTGACTATCCAGTTATTTTTGTGCTCCAGTGTTTTTCMTGGTGAATTTTTCCCCTCAATTCTTGGCTAAGCATGAGCTGGGGAAGCAGTGCCACACAAAAATAGAGTTTGAGCAGGGCTGTGGTTTGTTTGAAAATTCATTTTTGTTGTTAAACAGCTCTGGCCTGCAAAGTGTTCATCCCCCATGGGTGATACCAGCTTAAAACCTGGAGATTTTGTGGTGATTTTGGTTTTAAATGTTCTTCTAACCACACAGACAGGGCAAACAGAGTGAAACTGGACCCAAGCAAAGCCTAAAAGCCACTTAGATTGTATTTCAAGACCTTTATATGAATTTCAGCATTTCAAAATGGTTTCACATTACTCTGGTTCTTTGTTCTCCTGCAGATTGTGGCGTTAGGATTGAGCTTCCTGGTTTTTCCAATGTTTTTCTTTCCCTGTTGGTGCACAAAACCCCTGTGGAGACATCAGAAAGTGGCAATGTGGAGGATGCCACGGAGAGGCTGACTTGCAAAAATCTCTCTAAAATCAACCCAGTTGGCTGTCACGTGGATTTCCTTTGACTTTTTCTTGGTTACTCAGCCGTGGAGCTGTTCACTACAGGAATAGATGAGACCAAGACAAAATTATCTCTGAAAATCAATCTGGAGGAGGTGTCCACATATAGAGATCCAGAAAAAAAATCTTTCCTTACACGAGATGAGGAAAGCTCTTTTTAGAACCAACATTTAGAACTCAACATCAACATTTTGCTGTTGAATTTCTGGTTTAAATTCTGGCAGTAGCCAGCAGGATGTGCTTGGGTTGGATTTCTGAGGTCAGCTCCCACCTTAGCCCTGGTTTTTATTCCAGAAATACTTCCCCTCCCAGCAGCTGGGAGATCACAGGTGGGAATTGTGGATTAAATCTGATTTCAGCTGGTGGAACAGGTATTTCTGAATAACTTGGGCTGATCTTACCTGCTCTGCTCAGTTCATTAAAAAGCAGAACCAAAACTGCAATTTTGAGCACTTGAAACTCTTGATGAAGTTCTTGAATCTTCGATGTCCTTGAATTCTCAATGGTTCCCCAATGCCATAAAAATATAATTTTTCTCAGCTCTCTCGTGTAGCAGCAGGACATTTTTGGTGGTTTTCTCCTTCCTTTCCTGCTGGAATCAGCCCCATTTCTGCTGCCACCTGTGCACTAATTAAATACAAAAAAAAAGTTAAACAATTCAAGTGAAATAAAATTTAAATTAAACCAAAAATGTAAATAAAACAATTAAATACAAATTCCTGTTCATAGGAAACTGAAAGCCATGAAAGCCATGAAGAAAAAATAAAAAAAACCCCACCCCAAAACCAGAAAAACCCACCAAACTTTACCCATTCTATACATTATATACAAATGAAACTGAATTATTCATTATTTAAATTCTTATCAAATACAAAACTTCTTTACAACAAACAACTTTACATCCAAAAAAACCCCAAAACAAAATCCTTATGTCAGTCGCTGGCACCTTGGTGTTACCACTCAATGACAAAATCAATGTAATTTCAGCTCCACATGAAATCCTCACTCCTTAAACCAAAAAATGGGTGCATTAAAAGGATCCTCAGCAGTCACTGCCATTGCTTTGATGTTCCCAAGGTTCTGGTTCCTCATCTTCAAAGCATTCAGCGTTAATTATAGAGCTGCACCTCATTTTTTTCTCTCCTYCCTCCTGCCTGATGGTGGCACAGCACAGAGTGTGACCCATGGGCTCCTCTCATTTCCAAAACACGGCTGAGAAAACACCAAAAGGACATCAGAAAGGTTCTCCAGAAGCCACCAAAGCCATAACTGTGTTTATTTACAAAAAAAAAGGCTTTTCTGGTACTTCATTTCCAYAGAAGTGCTCAGGGTTTGTATTTAGCAGCACAAAAATCAGCTGCTCCTTTGTGATTTCTGCTCGGGGAGATCAGGAGATGGGGGGGATTTGTTGATCCCTTTGGGCAGCCATAGGGACTTCAGGAGATGTTCTGATCACTTTATACAGCCATGAGAGGCTCCAGGAGGTTTTTCTGATCCCTTTATGCAGCCATGAGAAGCTCCAGGAAGTTTTTCTGATAATTTTGGGCGCCCTTTAGGGGCTCCAAGAGGATTTTCTGATCACTCTGGGCAGTCATGAGGGGCTCCAGTTTTTTTCTGATCACTTTATGCAGCCATGGGGGGCTCTAGGAGTTTTTTCTGATTCCTTTATGCAGCCATGAGGGGCTCCAGGAGGTTTTTCTGATCACTTTGGGCACCCTTTGGGGGCTTCAAGAGGATTTTCTGATCACTTTTGACAGCTATGGTGTTTTCTGATCACTTTACACAACCATGGGGTGCTCCAGGAGGTTTTTCTGATACTTTGGGATGGAGCTCCAGTGTTTTTTACTTCTCCATGGAGCAGCCAGAGACCCTTCCCTGCTCTCCCCACCTCTGGGATCTGAGGAATGAGCAGGAGCAGCTCTTTCTGCTTCACCTCTGAGTTGCCAAAATCTTCATTTCTCACTGATTGTGGGGTCAGGGAGCTGGCACAGCGTGCTGTGAAGGGGAAGGGATGTGGGGCAGGAGGGAACAATGGTAACTCTCTGTGTTTCTGTGTTCTTTGTTTTGTTTTGAAGCTGGAAAGAGGTGATTTCCTCTCTGAAGAATGGAGGGAGAGGATTGCAAACACAAGGTACAGTACACAGACCCAGTGCTGCWTTCTGAGCTGGATGTTTGGGACTGTGGAGAATGGAAATTGGGAGGCTGGCCAGCTTTTTATATAGAATTTCCACAGCAAATACCCAAAGTCTATCTGGCAACTCTCACTCTGGCCTCTTCAAATCCTGTTTTCTGACTGCAAGAATGGCTTGGAGTGCATATCCCAGGATATTCCACACAAGGGTGGAATATCCAACATCAATTCTGGTTAGAAGAGAAACACAAACCTCATTTTGTTTTGCATATTCCCCATAGTTCATGTCAGGGATCTTGGCTAAAAATTCATTATCTTGGCTGTTGGGGCACACAGGGCTCACTTTCCCTCTCAGAAAAAGGAAAAGACCCAAGTGAGTTTGTTCCAGCTTAAATTGGAAGTTTATTGAAAGTAATTGTCTTGAAAAGATTTATTGATGTGGAGAACTGCACAGAGGGTTCRATCCCTTTCCTAGGGAGCAGAAAAGGGAGTAAATTTGTTAAAAGCAATAAAAGCTGCCTGTGTTTTTAAAGCTTTGCATTCCTCCAGCCCTAGGGGTAGGAAAAAGACCTCTTTATTTTTATCATTATTTTTTTACTTTTAATATATTTATTTTTATTTATATTCTTTATTTTTATTTTTATTTTTATTTTTATTTTTATTTTTATTTTTATTTTTATTTTTTAAAATACATTTTTATTTTTATTTTTAATTTTTATTTTTATTTTTAATTTTTTTTTTGTTTTAATTTTTATTTCTATTTTTATTTTTAAAATATATATTCTGATTTTGATTTTTAAGTTTTTATTTTCATTTCTGTTTTTATTTCTATTTTTATTTCTATTTTTTTAAATACATTTTTATTTTTAGTTTTATTTTTATATGACCTTCTGGGTCACCCTGTGATGTGGGGCAATGGGACGCACTGTCAAAGAGGCCTCTGAAAAATCCACTGCTGGATTTTTCCCAAGGCTCTGCCAGGCTGGGGGCTCCCGCACGGTTCTGTCCCTCCCTTCCTCCTGCAAGTCCCTTTTCTGGAGGTGCCTTTTGGTTTGTGGCCAGCCCTTCCCCAGCCTTGCAGCACATTGGGGTTTGGCTCTGCTGCCCGGACAGCTTTCCTGGGAATTCCTTTAGGATTTTACAGCAAAGTTTGGCTGCAGGAGCTCCGAGTGCCCCAGAAGGGCTGGAGGTGTTTGGGTGCTGTGGCACAGTGACCCCTGAGTGTCTCAGCTGCAGGATCTGGGAATTCTGGAATGGGTTGAGTTGGAAAGGACCTAAAAACCCACCCAGTGCCACCCCTGCCATGGCAGGGACACCTCCCACTGTCCCAGGCTGCTCCCAGCCCCAATGTCCAGCCTGGCCTTGGGCACTGCCAGGGATCCAGGGGCAGCCACAGCTGCTCTGGGCACCCTGTGCCAGGGCCTCCCCACCCTCCCAGGGAACAATTCCTTCCCAATATCCCATCCATCCCTGCCCTCTGGCACTGGGAGCCATTCCCTGTGTCCTGTCCCTCCAGCCCTTGTCCCCAGTCCCTCTCYWGCTCTCCTGGAGCCCCTTCAGGCCCCAAAAGGGGCTCTGAGCTCTCCCTGGATCCTTCTTCTGTCCAGTTGAACATTCCCAACTTCAAAAACATTGTCCATCCTGGCCCTGGGCAGTGCCAGGGGTGGGATTGGTACCAGGACATGGCTCCTGTGCATTCCAAGGGATCCCTGTGCCTGTGCTTGGCAGAATCTTCTGGAAGGCGGCCTGAGAGTGAAGGGGACTGGGGGTTCCTGTGCCCTGCACGTGCACACACAGCTCTGTGCCAGAGTGAGCTCTATAAAATCACATCTGCAGCTCTGGCTCTCCCCTTCCTCCCCTGGATGTTTTCTGGTACCATTAATGTGTTTGGCTCTTTTGCACAGCCTTTTTTTGGCACATGGCAAGGAGGAGGAAGAAACCCCTGCTCTTTTTCCTTGCCAGGCAGGGTTTCCTGAATTTCCAC